ACTTTTATTTTGGACTAGTGATAGTGATGCTAGTCCAAAACTTTTTAAACCAAAATAACAATTTTCAAAAATCAAAATGGACCATTTTTGCAATTTTGTGAATTTGAAATCTACAAAAAGTTTTGGTTAAAAAAGGGTAATAAAAAATGATTGGAAAGGAGGAAGGCTCGACAACTCATCTCCTTGGTAATAGAAGACAATCTTGCCATACATTCTATCAGCACCATAGTAGAAACCACCTTAGTCAGATCAATCAAAATAAATGTTAAAAAATATATTGACTATATCTACTAATGATACCTAATATAATTTCTGTGGTATTTGATATAATTAATTTTGTTTATTTTTACTTTTTGGTTCAAACTAATTAACTTTTTGCCTATGTTTATAATTATAAGATAAAATTGCACAATTGATGCTATATTTTTCAAAACAAAAGTAATAATTAAAACTTTTACACGTTAGTGTCCGTCGTTTTAAATTTGCACGTCATTGTCCTTTTTTTCTTTTTTTGCCGTAAAAAATGTTTTTACATTTTTTTATTTTATATTGTTATTTTAATTAAATTTTCTTTTTTTATATACTTTTAAATTTTATTAAGAATCTCTCTCTCTCATAAATAGTGTAGTTAGTTGATTATTAATCTTTATATCTGCGATTAATAAAAATTATGTTAATAGTCATTTGGATGGGATCTAATTTTTTTTTCTCTGCATTATTAATAATGTCACACAAAAACATATATACAACTATTTTGTTTATCAAGCATGTGTACAGTAAATAAAAATTACAATTTGCACTTACTACCGTCTTGTTAAAAATATTTATTGTAACATTTGTAAGAGATTATGAGCTACTCCAGAATTATGGTAATGTCAAATTTTAGTTGAGAGGCTAATTATGGTATAACAGTTTTATAACAAAATACCATAACTAAGGACAAATCCATGATTTAAAAATATGTGAAAAAATAAACTATTTTTTTTTTCTTATGGGTTTACTTTATTGATAATATCATGTAATATAAAATATAGTATTAACTTTTAGGCGAGGGCCTAATTATGGTACTAAATTAATCAGATTATAAACAAACAATAATTTTTTTGAGTTTTTATTGTTGGTTTCATGTATAATAGTATTAGCATGAGACTTTTCGAAACCGTGGAGTTGTCTCTTATTTGTGAGTCTGCTTTGTAATTTACGAGTTGAATACTTTTTTTTAATTTTTTATATTACCTTGGTAAATATGGTAAATATCATATTTTAGTGTTGGAAAAAAACACATTTTATATGAAGTTCTAATAAATTAAAACATTAATTAAAAATTAAAATGTAATTTTATAGATTTATAAAACTTGAAGGGTATAAAGTAAAATATGATTAACTTTGAGGTATATATATGGACATCGTTTTATGTGAAAACAGTTTGATATATTAATATTAATAAAAACTTTATTAATAATTGTAATTGATTTCAGGTTTTGACAAACAAGTTTCACACAAACATAGGTGGTTTTTGACTTTATTAAAATGATTTTGGGTGTGAAATGAGTTGGAGACAAATATAATATTATAACCAAATAGAATATTATACTTGAAAAAACCTTTATAATGAATAAAAAGTAAGTAATAAGATAATTAATATAGTTACTATTTATCAACTTTGTTAATTAATATAGTTACTGTTTATCAAGTTTGTTTATAATAGAGATTACAGTATTATTCTTGAAATAGATAGTTTATAACCAAGGTTCTAAAATTCGTTATGGTTTTGTTAAGGTGTGTCATGATTCAAAAACTTGTACTCGACGTCCCGTTTTAACAAAATGTCGCCTTAAATTATATATGTATGTAAAAATGAATAATAGTAGAATATATATATATACATAAAATTATTAATCATATATAAAATTGTCGCCTTAAGTCACAGCTTACAAACGATATATCTCACCACAAATCGTAAAAGTCTGAAACTTGACATTGACGTCAGATGACCGTCTAGCGTTATTTTGAACCGTGTTTATAAACAACAGAAAGTAGTTAATAAAATATTAATATAGCTATTGTTTCTCACGTTGTTAAATAATAGTAACTAGTAGGTGATTTCGAGCTTCGCCCACAGTGTATTTTTTTACAAACATAAATGGGACCAAAAGTATCGAGTTCAACAAAATCTAGGGACCATTTATTTAAGTTAAGTCAATTCCCTCACAAAAATCTTATGTATATATATATATATATATATATATAAAAGAAGAATGGGACCAAAAGTATCAAGTTCAACAAAATAAAGGGACCATTTATGTAAATTAAGCCAATTCAGGGACCACTTATTTAAATTAAGACAATTCTCTCACAAATATCTTTAATATATATATAAAAAATAAAAAATAGGATCAAAAGTGTAAAAAAAATAAAAAATCAAACCAAAAGTGTCAAGTTCAATAAAATTTAAGAACCATTTTTGTAATTTAAACAAATTCTCTCACAAAAAGCCACTCTTCATAAACAAGTTATGCTTTTCATATTTCATATGTATATTAATAATAGAAGGAAGAATTTCATATATGTCCTTAATAAACAACAAAATATCATATTTAAGCAACATAATTTCTAAATATCATATATAATCTTCCTAAGCTTTCAAAATATCATATTTACCCAAATCTTTTTTTTTAACAATTTTTTAATATTTTTTTAATTATTCTAAATCATTTTAACTAAAAACAAATTGAAATTGACAATAATACCCTCATTTTAGGATTGCAAAAATAATTTGTATCCCATCACAAACACGAACCAAGTCTGGAAAGTGGAAACACAAACAACCCAAGTCAGCCATTGTCCACGTTGCTCCGCCGTTCAGACCCATCGCCCATTTCCTCATCAGCAACTTCGATCCACCAGGGCATTGATGTCACTGCTCTTCTATTCTTGAATCATCGTTGATTACCTTATCAACGACTTCAATTCCAACACATGATTTCATTATCAACGACTTCTTGTTTTCGAATCGTTTCTAATTCCTCACCAACGACTTTAATTCCAAAAGATGATGAATTGTGTTTTATTGATTTCATCATTAGCAATTTTGGAATCTTGTATTACTAATTTCATCATCAGGGATTTGAAATTGTGTTTTACTGTGTTACTGGGAGTTGTTGTGAAGCCGATGGAGAAACCAAGGTTAGTTTGAAGTATATATGGATGGAGAAAAACATCGGTCTTGCACTAGACCAAGTGATTCCAGGATACGAGAGTATTCCATTAAGTCCTTACTATTTTTGGCCAAGGAAAGGTGCTTGGGAAGAGCTTAAAGTGATGGTCGAGAGTAATCCATGGATTTTTCAAAAGCAAGTGATCATTATTCTTACTCAAGCTACTAATATCATTAACTTGTGAGAACAAAGTGGTCATGATATACATATGTTCTTGTCAATTCCTTAGATATGTGTAGAACTGTAGATTATGATGTCTTGTTACTTGATACTGTTCACAAATTGATAGAGATGATTCCCATTTAACTAGTGTTTTTTTTTCTTGGTTTATTTGTATCTACTCCAGTTTCTTGATCCAATACGCCACTTTTCTTTCTGTCAACTTCTTTGATGAAATACAATATCTAAAGAAACGGTTTACCAATTCATTTTGGTCATTATTTTATGGGTCTCAACTATTTTATGGGTCTAAATCACCGGTATGAACTTAATATAACATATGGGTAATGGATTTATTGTCTTCATAGGAATCATTCTTCCACTTCCACATAATAATAATTACATGTTTTATTTATGAGTATAGTTTATTCTGTTATAAACTTAGTTTTTTTGTTAGTAAAATTGGTTTGCGGCATTTTTCTTGAAAAAATTATAATTAGTTAGGCTCTTTATGTTAATTTGTTGCATTAATATTTATGTTATTCAAATTGATTAAAATAATAGTTTTGGTAAATATGATATTTTGACAATTTATGAAGGGTATAAGTGATATTGTAAACTTAGTTTTATTATAAGGGTATAATAGTCAAATGATAAAAATAAGAATTTAAAATGATTAAAAATGTTTAAAACAAAAAATTTTCGGTAAATATAATATTTTGAAAGCTTAGAAAGGATATATATGATATTTAGAGATTAAGTCGGATAAATATGATATTTTATTGTTTATTAAGGGTATATATGAAATTCTTGCATAATAGAATATCTGAATTATGTAAGTTTACAAAAAAATATGATGACCTGACTATCGTAGTGCTAAAGGCCCATGTGCCATTGCGATAATGAGACACAACTTTACCATGTGCAAATATAAAGATGACGATGCAGGAATGCAGCCAAACACCTGAAGCACGGATCATTATGTAGAATTACTTTGGGAAGTCCCCATTTGTATATTATGCAAAGAAAAGGACGAGTGAATTATAATATTCAAACTGTTGAGAATGGTGTTAGACAAAGATGCTATGCTGTTGACCTGGTCAACTATATACATCCAATTGTAATAAACACGCGTTCACTTTGCTTTATCAAATATAAATTACACAAAATAATTAATTACACAAAATAATTTATATGTTTGGTCTTTAATTTATTTTTTTAACTTGCAAATCTATTTGTTTTTATTACCCATTTAATTTCTGTTTCTGTCTAACCTAAAAAACTATTTTGTTCTTGATTTTTAATTTATTTAAATAAACTATTTTCCTACCTCTTAGCAATTAGCATATTTCCTTAATAAATGTGGAACATATTTAGTTTTCAAATCAACACCACTACCAACGTTAATAATTAATCAAAAAGAAAGTTTGACAATAACCACCACCACCCAAAGGCCAAAGCTGCTAGCCTGCTATCATGGATGATATTGGCTCCATCCACGCCTAACATCATTATGGATACAAGCAGAAGCACCAAGATAAAGATTCACGTCTCTAACTTTAGTTACACACGTTTTTGAAAAATCGATACTATTTTCTAGAAAATACAAGATTTTATTGAATAATGGGTTCTTGGTCGTTGTCAGCATCTTCACAAGTTCATGTAGCAGTGGTTTCTCAAACTCTGAGCTTTCTCTTTTTCCTCTTCTTTTCAAATGGTAGATCTACACTTCTGTACCAAACACACATACACACACTAAGATTTTGTTCTTAATACAATTTTATACGAATTTGCAGGAGCCTTGGGGGTTACTTTTACTATTGTAAACGACTGTGGGTTCACTATCTGGCCTGCAATCTTTAGCATTCCGAGTTTAAATGAAACCGGATTTGCGCTCACAAAAGGTAACTCACGCTCTTTTCAAGCTCCGGGTGACTGGATTGGTAGTATATGGGGTCGGACAGGTTGCAACTTCAATAGCTCAGGTAAATGGTCATGTACCACAGGTAATTGCGGCACAAATGTCACCAATGAAATGGAGTGTAATCCATATGGAAGAACAACACCCGCCACGATTGCTGATTTCTTCATCAATCAAATCGAAATCAACAGCCAGGACATTTATGATGTCAGCATTGACCAGGGCTACAATTTGCGAATGCTTGTGGAGCCAACTGCCGGTTCAGGTTCCAGTTTACGTAGTTGTGCAAAGACGGGTTGTGTTGAAGACTTGAATCAGCGCTGTCCAAGGGAGCTAACTTTTGCAGGTGGTCAGGTGTGTAAGAGCGCTTGTACAGCTTCTGGCTCTCCCGAGTATTGTTGCAGTGACTCGTTTTCATCACCCTCATCTTGCAAGCCAACAGCATATGCGCAGTTGTTTAGGTCAGCCTGCCCAAGATCTTATAGTACCACATATGATCTACAGACTACTACATTTTTGTGTAGTGGTGCCGATTACACTATCAGATTTTGTGCGGCTGCCAATTCATTTTCAAAAATCAAATTTGGCGGTTAACTCAAGTCTACAGACCAGCTTGTTTCCATGCGTGGAAATTTCACATTAGGGTTCTTTGGTGAAAACTACAGTTACTTGGGAATTTGGTACACAAGCGATGTTCAATCCACAAAAGTATGGGTAGCTAATCCAAATGCACCGATCATATCCACCCCAGGCACTCATACCCTATCCATCAGTGCCAAAACCGGAGACTTGGTCATCAGTGCAGGATCCAAAACTCTAATGAGAATCACCGATGTTAAACTGGGTCCAAACGCAAATGTGACTGCAACCCTCGAAGATAATGGTAATTTCCGGCTGATTAACCAAGTTGACAAAAGAGTTTTGTGGCAGAGTTTTGATCACCCAACCAATGTACTTTTACCTGGCATGAAGCTTGGGTATGACATGGAAATGGGGCAGAATTGGACCTTGACTTCTTGGTTGAGCAATGAAATCCCAAAATCAGGAGCTTTTACTTTGAGTTGGGAACCCACTCAAAAAGCATCCCAGAGATTAATGATCCGACGACGAGGACAACCCTACTGGACTAGTGGAAATCTAAACAACCAAATATTTCAATATATGTTTGCATTGAATGGCCCAGGTAGTCAATCCATGTATAATCTCACTTCTGTATACAACAATAAAGCAAGATACTTTAGCTATGATGGTAATACTGCTGCTTTACCCATGTGGATTTTGACACCAAAAGGACAAATTAGAGATATTAATAATGCTGCTGCTTGGAGCCCTGAGTTTTGTTATGGATACGATACTGTGTTAAAGATCATCACTAGCCCAATAGAACAAATATTATCTAGAAGACTTTAGCTTGTTCTAGAACGCTCTAGAAGATTCTAGAACATTATGGAAGACTATGGAAGACTCCGGAATATACCGGAAGAGTCTAGAATACTCTAGAACGACATGGAAGACCCTGGAAGGTTATGGATCATTCTAGAAGACACTGGAGCAACCTAGACCTCTCCAGAACATGGTAGAATATTCTAGAAACATATGGAAGCATATAGAGTATGTTAGATATTTCTAGAGTTATCTAGTAGGTAGTAAGTGTATACTAGTATCTAGAACCTTCCTAAGAGGCCTATAAATAGGTGTGGAGCTCATTTGCTCCAAACCATCCAAGAAAGCCTCAAAGAGAGCAAAGTGTGTAGTAGTCTCACAAAGTGTAAGGTCTTCTTAAGTGTCTTAATAAAAGTCTTTTTGTTTCCCATACAAAGAGTCGTGTTCAACAATCTGGTATCAGAGCAAGGTTTCTTGATAGTGAGAACGAGTGATTCTCGTTGTATCGTGAGTAGTTTGTGACTCTGCAAGTTTAGTGTCGAAACTAGCTTGTTTGGTATTACCGAGGTACTGCCAACATGATGGGTGATCTCCAAGTCGTCGGAGGAATCAAGAAACTCAACAACAACAACTACAAAACATGGGAAACATGTATGAAGTCCTACTTACAAGGACAAGATCTATGGGAGGTCGTTGGCGGAAGCGAAACCACGCCTCCGGAGGAAGATGTTAATGACGCTCTACGCAAATGGAAAATCAAAGCAGGCAAAGCAATGTTTGCCTTGAAGACCACAATCGAAGAAGAGATGTTGGAGCATATTCGGGACGAGAACACACCGAAAGAAGCTTGGGACACGTTTGTGACGCTTTTCTCAAAGAAGAATGATACAAGACTACAACTTTTGGAGAACGAGCTATTATCAATCTCACAACGTGACATGACGATTGCTCAATATTTCCACAAGGTCAAGTCGATATGTCGGGAGATTACTGAACTAGATCCGCAATCCGTCATTACAGAAGCTCAAATGAAGAGGATCATCATCCATGGACTGAGGCCGGAATATAGAAGCTTCGTTACTGCTGTACAAGGATGGCCCGTTCAACCATCACTTGTAGAGTTTGAGAATTTGTTGGCCAGCCAAGAAGCTATGGCTAAGCAAATGGGAGGCATCACGCTGAAGAGTGAAGAAGAAGCACTCTACACAAGTAAAAGTCGGAGAAATTTCAAGCCACCTTCTAAAGAAGGATACAAAAATGCTGACAAATGGAAGAGTCAGCCAGGAACCTCATAACCATGGAGATCTCAAAAGACCGACAATAAGAGTTCTCGGGGGAGGAGGTTCGAAGGCAACTGCAACAATTGTGGAAAGTGGGGCCACATGTCCAAAGATTGTTGGTCAAAGAAAAAGTCTGTGGAAAGCAATGTCGTAACTTCCAAAAAGGAAATAGAGGATGAATGGGATGCTGAGGCATTATGCGCCATAGAAGAAAACGAGTTGGCGCTCATGGCAATGATGGGAGAGCATATCAACTATGAGAATGACTGGATCATTGATTCAGGATGCTCCAATCACATGACTGGTGATCAGAACAAACTACAAGACGTGAAGGAGTACAAAGGGAGTCGCATGGTACTTACAGCCAACAATGCACGACTTCCAATTGCTCAGATTGGCAAAACAACGATCATGCCTGGTAATAAATCTGACATGGTGTCACTACATAATGTCTATCACGTGCCAGGTATGAAGAAGAACTTGTTATCGGTATCGCAACTAACATCATCAGGAAACTACGTCTTGTTTGGCCCACAAGATGTGAAGGTCTATCGAGATCTTAAAATATCAGAAAAGCCAACAATGGAAGGACGGAGAGTGGAGTCCGTCTATGTTCTCTCCGCAGAGTCTGCCTATGTAGATAAGACTCGTAAGAACGAGACAGCAGATCTATGGCATGCACGGCTGGGACATGTTGGTTATCACAAGTTGAAGGTAATAATGGAGAAATCCATGCTCAGTGGCTTACCTCAACTTGAAGTTAAAACAGATGTTGTTTGTGCTGGATGTCAGTATGGTAAAGCTCATCAATTACCATACAAGGAGTCAAATTTTAGAGCAAAGAAGCCACTAGAGTTAATTCACTCGGATGTGTTCGGTCCAGTCAAGCAGACATCAATTAGCGGGATGCGGTACATGGTGACATTCATTGATGATTATTTGAGATATGTGTGGGTTTTCTTCATGAAAGAAAAATCTGAAACATTCTCAAAGTTTCTAGAATTCAAGACAACGGTCGAAGGAGAAGTGAGAAAGAAGATTCGGTGTCTACGCTCAGACAATGGAGGAGAATACACCTCGGAAGAATTCAATAGCTATCTAAAAGAATGTGGTATACGTCATCAATTCACATGTGCCAACACACCTCAACAAAATGGTGTAGCTGAGAGAAAGAATCCACATCTTGCAGAAATTTGTCGAAGCATGCTACACGCGAAGAATGTCCCAGGAAGATTTTGGGCTGAAGCAATGCGAACTGCTGCCCATGTGATCAATAAACTTCCCCAACCAAGGTTAGGTTTCATCTCACCATTTGAGACACTATGGAACATGAAACCTACTATTAGCTACTTTCGAGTATTTGGTTGTGTCTGCTACGTATTTGTACCTAGTCATTTACGTAGCAAGTTTGACAAGAAAGCAGTCAGGTGTATATTTGTTGGATATGACAATCAAAGAAAAGGATGGAGGTGTTGTGATCCAACAAGCGGAAGATGCTACACTTCAAGAGATGTAGTGTTCGATGAAGCATCTTCATGGTGGTCCTTAGAGAAGAAAGTATTACCAGACTCGGAAAATATTGAAGAAGTTTTAAAACAAAAGATGGGGGAGCAAACTGCACACATTTGGTCAAGTGTTGATACACCTGAAGATCCGAGCGACATTGATGTCATTGAGCAAGAAGTAACTCAAACAAGTAATGCCGGTGAAAGGGAGACGCCGCCTCCACAACTTCGAAGGACGGAAAGAATCCGAAAGCCTAATCCCAAGTATGCTAATGCAGCTATTTTAGAAGACGGTGTTAAAGAGCCGGAGACATATGAAGAAGCAATTAAGAATAAAGCTTGGCAGAAGGCAATGGAAGAAGAAGTTACAGCCTTAAAGCAGAATCAAACGTGGGAACTGGTACCAAGACCAAGAGATATAAAACCCATTTCCTGCAAGTGGGTTTATAAATTAAAGCGACGCACAGATGGATCAATTGAAAGATACAAGGCTTGTTTGGTGGCTCGAGGGTTCTCACAACAATATGGACTGGACTATGATGAAACATTCAGTCCAGTGGTGAAGATAACTACTGTACGGGTGCTGCTAGCTCTTGCAGCTAGTAAAGACTGGAAATTATGGCCAATCATTCTTCATATGAAACCAAAGCAGAAGATTTCTCAAAGTCAACTTCATATGAAACCAAAGCAGAAGATTTCTCTGTGAATAATGTGACCATCTCTGTTGTTGGGGGTCGATAGGGTATGAACGTAGCTTCAGCACATCATTCTTTGTGAAAAACTTTTCTGTATTTATTCACTTTTGTAGGAGATGCAAATCCATTTTTCTATACTTGTTAATTGTTATATGCATGCAAAATTGCCACATCATAATATAATGAACACTCTTTATAGGTCTATCCAGGGGTGGACCCAAAAATTTTTCAAAGGGGGGGCAAAAAAGAATTTTAAAACTTTTTATGGGGGCAAATTTGTTTGAAGAGTTAAAATATATAATTTTGAATAGTTAAAATATAATATTTTTGAAAAAAAATTATTTTTTAATTATTTTTTTTTGTTGTAGGGGCAGCTGCCCCCACTGCCCCCATTGTAGGACCACCCTTGGGTCTATCCATATTATATATGTCGATAAAGAAGTAAAGAACATCTTGTGCAAGCTTGTGGATATAGTAGATTCATTATTAGCTCAATGTAAAAGTTTTCTCAGTCTAGGAAGTCTGGTGTTTATGCAGCCTGATGGGGGAAGACTGGTCACTAAATAGAAGCATCATCGAAATGTGATTGGGCTGCATTTGTGGAAATATGTAACTAATTTATAAATATCATCCCTTCATAGATTTTTACATTCCTTTATTAGTTTAGGTTTTAAATCATGTTAATTTGTCTCTTCAATTTCCTCATGGTGTTGGTTCGCCAGAGTTGAAGGACCAAAAAAGAACGATGATGAAGACGTCGATGTCACTAAAAATGGAAATGAAATAGAAGTTGAGGAGGATGACAGATGGGATGAAGACCGATGGGACCCAAATTAAATTTCTTAAATGTGGTTTCAGGTTTAGGGTAGGAGATACAAATATGTGAGGTCGACTAATTTTTTTAAATATATAAAAAATAAATACATAAATAAGAAAATTAATTAAAAAATAAATTAATAAGGACACAATAGTCTTTTTAGGTAAGACAGGGAGGGACCAAATGCACAACAAAAATAAACAGTAGGGACCATCCGAGTTAAAAAATAAGTTAGGGACCCAAAACACAAATTCCCCCAAACCACAAGGACCATTCGTGTAATTTAATCTTACTTTTCGTTTTGTTCATATTTGGTAACTATCTTTTTTGTACATATCTACGTAACGAACTTGTGAAATTGTTCACATCTAGGATGTAACCTGCTACTGCCGGTCATAATAGTCATATGTGAACACTTCCAACAAGTTTGTTACCTAGATGTGTACAAAAAAAAATAGTTACCCAGATGTGAACTTATTGAAAAGTTAATCACCTTTCTAAATCATTTTCTCAATCAAATATACAACAAATTGTAATAAAACATGCTATGAGCTTGTTTCCCATGGAGTTTTTCAAAGTTTTTGATTGTTTTTTATTTAAAAAAATGATTGAAAAGAAAAACTACATTGGACAATGAGACTTTTTAGTTTTCTTTAAACAAAAAAAGTTCTTAACATAAAATCCTAGATAAATCACATATTTGTTTTGTGGTTTGCAAAAAAAACACAAA